GAGACCCACCCTGTGGGAGCGTACAGGCCGATGGGAGGTAATCTGTGGCATGTACAATGTATCACACAAATGAATTCATCATCTCAATGGTCTCATAGTATTTACTCACTGAGTAGTTGGTTTCAATAATTTTTTAAAAGTATTAATTTAGTTTTATACTGGAGAAATTTAGTAGGCCCTCCTACTCATAATTTGTATATCTCAGCAGCATGCATCAATAAACACCAAGAACACTCCAAATTGAACAAAACATTTTAAAAAGCTAATATAACAGGCCAAGTTATATCCTGTAAGGTACACATACTCAATGCTGGGCATAACCCATCTCTTATGTTATGTATATGTAGGGGTGTAGGTCTATGCATATGTTGTATATAGTATGTATATGTTGTATATAGTATGTTTAGGTGTGTGTCATGTATGTGTTCACTTTGAGAGCAGGCAACTAAATTTCATTTTTGATGTGTGTCGTTGTGCCCACAGTAAAAATAAAGGTTATCTTATCTCTTATCTTATCTTATTCTCCCAGCAGAATGGGCACAATTATTATCCTGGCCCAATGCCTTGTAAGAAAAGCCAGGTCTTCATGATTCTACAAAAGCCTAATAGGGGCCATCCAAACCTCCAGTGGAGGGAGGGGGGACTTGTTCCAAAGTACAGGTACAGCAATAGAAAAGGCACATTGAGGTCTCATTAGATGATACTGCTTGGGGGACTGGAGCATGCTCACCCTGTACAATCTAATGGAATGGACAGAATAATCCAGGTTTGTGCCACACAAGCATTATAAGTGATAAACAGTACTTTGACTTGCATCTGGAAGTCTATACGGAGCCAGTACAGCTTATGGAATAGTGGTGTTACATAGGTGTACTGATGTTTGCCCATTACTACTCATGCCCCTGGACCAGTTGCAGCAGCATCTGGATGATCTTCAAAGGCAGTTCCATGTACAGCATACTGCAGAATCGGAATGAAAGATAACCAAGATGTGAGTGATTATGAGCAGGACCTCTTAAAGTCTTAATCCAGAAAGAGAGGCAATTGGAACTCAAGATGGAGCCTTGTACTGCCTCCTAATCATCAAGCAAGAGTTGCAAGTCCAGGTGGACCTTCAGATTATATACAGCTCTGGAGTGGGCGAGTGAAGCCTCACCCAGTTTCAAATACGGAAAATCTCCAGATCTGGCCCAGCTGCTTCATCTCCCAAGGGTTAAGCATTAAATCTACTGAAATTAACCAGCTCAACTACATTTACCTTTAGCCCAGATTTAGTCCAGTATGTACTAAAAAAAAAGATATGGAATTATTAATATTGTTCCAATTCATCAGAATTGATTTAAGAAATCACAATTACATTGTAATGTTTCCCTTACAGGTTCCCCAGCACCATACTAGCTGTAACAAGGAGCTGCAGTATTCAGTCACATTTCATATTGCATCTACAGTATATCCATACATCTTTAAATTACATAATCAGTTTTTTTTTCTATTTACAATAAGCTGCATAAAATTAAAGGAAAATTATCCATGCTTCCCCCTAATATTTTATTTCATCCAATCTGCCCAAAGACCAATCTGATTTAAAATCATGGTTTGATTCCCATATTACATTTTGAATACTTGATTGAATTCTGAAAAAAATAAAGACAAGAGTTCCTTTAAACATGTGTCCAGTATTGTCCCATGCTTTGGTCCACTCCCTTCTTTTACATACAAAGTATTACGCATGCATAAAATATATTACAGGCACATCTCACGCCTCATCAGTTCCAGCACAGCGGACAAGAATCAAAATCGCCTTTCCTTTCATAGTCTCCAAATCCCTGATTAGCCAATCACAGGCAGGATTCCCTTTGACGTCTGAACATCTCCCCTTCATGCCGACTCCTCCTCTTCCCCGCCCATCCCATGTCGAATAACTAAAGGGGCGGGTCGCCATCCCGAACTCCGCACCCCGCCCTCCTTTCGCGCCCAATGGCATCGCCCTGAACTTCTAAAGCCTGTCAACGATTGGGTCTCCAACTCGAGCCAATCGCGTCGCCCCGCCGCCGTTGTATATAAAGCAATGCTGGGGCTGAGGTTCCCGCAGTGCTCAAGCGTTGCAGGCGCGGAGAAAGGAGGGGACGGGTGGAAGGAAGGGACTTGGCTCTTGCACGCGCCGAGGTTACGCCTTCCCTTTCCCCGCCCCCTCCGGTCCCTCAGACTGATTTCTTTCCTCGGGTGGTTTTTTTTTTTTCCCCCTTCCCGCCCTTTCTTCTTCTTCTTCTTCTGGAATTTTCCTCTGTTTTTGGGGGGGTAAACCGGCTTGGTTTCCTCTTCCACTCAACCCGCTTGTGTTTTATTTTGGTGCGTGTGTCGCCTTTCTCCACACCCCTCCCTTTCTTGTCTCCCTCGGGAAGAGCCCTCACGATGCGCGCGACCGCGGCGGGGACAGGGACGGCGGGCACGGCCGCCGCGAGCTCGGGGAAAGCGCCGCCGACCACGCCGGCTGACGGGGACGGGCGCTTCAGCGTCCTCAGCTGGGAGCAGGTGCAACGGCTGGACCACATCCTGGAAGAGGCCGTCCCCATCCACGGCCGAGGCAACTTCCCCACCTTGTCGGTGCGGCCCCGCAGAATCGTGCAGGTGCGTGAGGGAGCCGAGGCACGCCGTGGACGCCCCCCCACCCCACCCCACCCCACCCCGCACACACACCCTGCTTGGGGTCCCGGGTGGGATAATTTACCTCACGATTTACCCCAGCCTTCTCTTCGGGGTGGGTGGGGGCTCCGTGTCCGTGTGGAGGTGTCCTTCGGGGCCGGGATGTGGGGATCGTCGGGGAGGCCAGGCTGGCGGACAATGTGTCAGTAGTTCGGAATGCGCATACCAGGGCTTCCTAAAAGTAATAATGGTCGGTCTCCGGCTTCCTCGGGAATTAAAGGGCCAACGGCTGCAGGGCAGGATATGCCGCTGGATAAGTCACTGCGCGTATTTTAGCGGAAGAGCAGCACCTTTATGGAGAGGATGCTTAAGGAGGTCAGGGTGGGGATTGCTCAGGCTTCTGGTTTATGTGGGTTAAAAGGGCCAAAGCTTTCTTCTCGCCTATGGGGGTGGGGTGGGGGGGGGAATGGGGAGTCAATTCGAATAGGATGCTGTTAAATTGATTGATTTATTTTTTTTAACTTGGAAGGAAGGAGGAGAGAGATTGCATCTCCGGGAAGCTTCCCCAAAAGCAAATTGATTTATTTTTCTTTTAACTTGGAAGGAAGGAGGGGGATTGCATCTCCGGGAAGCTTCCCCAAAGCTGCAGTCTCATCGACTTGAGTACATTTGTCACAATTCTGGGCGTTTTTTAAATGTGTTCCACTCTGCCAGATTCTTTTGTTCTTTTAATAGTATTTTTAAACTTACTCAGATAGCTATTTGGCCACCATCTATTCTACCCCATCCCACCCACCCCCCATAGAATTTGACATATTAAACGTTCTTAGGTCAGTCTTTTTTTTTTAAAGGGTCTTGATAAAGCTTCCTATAATGCTCAATTAAGATGGCATTAACTCTACCTTCTCATTCCTATGAACTTTAATCTTCTATGAGTAACTTTTTTTCTGAATTAATAGCTCAGTTGTAGGTTAACTAGATTATCTGCAGATGGCAAACTATAGTTTAATACTTGGTAACTATTTGTATGAATATCCAGGTCAAAGATCTAGTTGCTTCATTTGCAGAGCATAATTACACTTCATTAATTTGATTTTTTTTTTATTTCTGGCTTGATAAATTTTGTGCATTCAAACTCTTGGATTAATTTTTGGCTTACTATATTATGGAAAAACTATATTGACTGTTGTGTTTAGCAATAAACCAATGAAATGGTCCTTTCAGTTATGCTACACCAGTGTGGTACTTTTTTTCTGAACTGCAGTTTTCAAGTTCTTGAGATGCTGCAGCTAAATATTAAACTACTGTTCATTAGTTTACACATTATCTTGCATAGGAAGGGGTAAAGATCTATGAAATATTAGTATACGTAAACTGCCCACTGGATGGCTGCTGTAGTGGCTGTATTATGGAGTGAAAAATATTGTAATCCCAAGGAAAAATGGGATTTGGAGGAAAGTATGCTTTGAGATTTATTCCAGGGTGGGTGGGATAATCATTTAGATCTTCTATGTCAAGAGTTTTATGTTATTTTCTTAGGCCATATTTTAATATGTGAAGTTGCCTGTAGTTTAGGACAGTTTATGCCATAACATTTGTAGACTTTTAAGACGCCCCAAACTTTTCAATGCATTGGTTCATAACAGTGATATTAAGATAAATTAGCTGCCAGGTAATATTTTCATACATTGATTACCTAGGCCACCAGATATTTGGAGCAGATTGGTGTGTTGATTTGTGAGGAACTTAATTATTGAAGCAGTAGGGCTGCAACCCTGATAATCAAAAATGCTCAAGAAGAAAGATATATGACTGCAATTAGTTTGGGAGGTATATGACTGGGGGGAAAGTCATTTCTATTATACAGTATAGTTAAAGTACATAGAAATAATTTAATACACTCCGTTTCCATTCACTTTGAGAGGTAGAAATGACTGGTATCTTTATGTGCCCTATTTAGAAGACAGTCCTGACCTAAAAAGAGCTGTACAGCATTTAAAATGGGTGGAGTTAAATACATGCAGGTTCCAATAATTGGTGTCCAGATGCAATGAGAACTCTTAGATGAAGCCTTAGGCCAGTGGTTCTCAACCTTTTTAATGCCGCGACCCACAACCGGTCGTAAGTCGAGGACTAAACCGGTCGTAAGTTGAGGACTAAACCGGTCATAAGTCGAGGACTACCCAACCGGTCGTAAGTCGAGGACTTTCCCTGCCCGGGAGCGCCGCGCATGCGTGGTTCCGCCCCCTGCGCCAGCCGAGGCGTAGCTGGCAAGCGGCAGAGACGGAGCAGGCCGACCACCAGCTGGCCCAGCTCAAGGGAGGTAAGGCACCCACCGGAAAAGGGGAAAAAAATGGCGGACAGCCTTGCTTGGCGACCCCCGTGAAATGGTTGATCGACCCCAAATGGGGTCGCGACCCATAGGTTGAGAACCGCTGCCTTAGGCTTTCATGTATACATGAAGGACTGAATGTTTTGGAGAATGGACCCCTTAGTTCCAAGCCTTTCATAAGTGGCTAGGGTTAACCTGGGTATACAGACAATCCCTGGGTTAAAAACATCTGACATAGACAACCCATACTTACAATTGAGTTTCCTATTACTGAAAATGGCAGATGGCATTGTCTTTCCTCAAGCTGACAAACTGCTGAAGCTGCTTATTTTTTTAATATATAAACTATTTTCAGCAGTTCATAAAAACAGCATGCCTTCAGCAGTCTATCATCTTGAAGGAGAAAGTTTTTAGTAATAGCCCATTTGTAAGTATGAGTTCTGATTTACATACAAATTCACATTAAAGAAAGGTGGAACTTGTTCTTAACCTTGTTGACAATCTGAGGGCTATACATGCTTTGAACTTTCACAGTTTCTTGGCATTAACTGTGTTGATGAGAGCTTGGACTCAGAACATTTTAAAGATGTAAGTTGCAATCTTTGCTCCAACTCTATTAGTGCCTAGGAATCTTCAATGTCTCGGAATTGAATTTGGGGAAATGCTACAAGGGAAGCATATCATGCTAAAAGCAAGTCGGTGTATCTCTTTGCACTGGCTATGTTTAGGGTTGCTGGAAGCTGTGGTTGGTAGGTCGCAGCTTCCCCTGCTGGTTGTGTGCCAATTCTAAATTACATAAAACTCTTAGGTCAACAATAACTAATAGAATGTCAAAGTTATGGAACTAAGAGGCATACTATGTCTTGGACAGAACTGTGTTTTAATAACGATTACTGGTTGGTCTTTAGTGGAAGGAATCTAGATGGTGTAAGTTTTTAGTATCTGCCAAGAGTGTCTCTCTTAGAAAAAGACTTGTTTCCATAAAATAGGATTCATGATGAAGCCTGTGAATGGCTGAGTTTGTACACCGTTCTAAATCATAATCCACAGTTAATGAACCAAAGTTGCTATTCATATAATATGTTGTAACAAAAAGATCAATTGGATGAATTATGTGCTGTCAAATTGGTGATGACTCTTAGCAACCATATAGATTCTCTCCAAGAAAGGCATGTTTTATTATGGCCTAATATGGTATCCTGATTCATACTGTGCATTAAGACATAATATGCTTTTATTTATTTTTATCATAGCTAGTCTTGTAAACACTGGTTTAGTTTTGTGTAAAGAGTTGTTTAGTAATTTCTTTAATGTATTGGTGTTTTGAAATGAATGTTGCCTTTTACACTGCTGGAGTTCATAAACATGCTAATTCATTAGTAACAAGCAACAGTGCCTAAACCAAAATCGAACCGTATCTTGGCATATTTTGTGAGCCCTGCCCATTGTATTAAGTTGCATTATACGATTTTTTTAGTTTACATTGCATAACTACTGCTTGTTAACTATGATTTAGGTTTTTAGAATGTATGAATGAAGCCACTCTGTAGCATGCCTCAGCCATTGTTTTCCAACAGTCAGCTAGACATAGGTGAGGATTGTACTAGATTCCCCACTACAATTCTACAGAGCTTTTCCCTCCCTTTCAGCAAAAGTGAAAGAGAACAGTTTGTTCTCACATTTGGCTGCAACAATCCCTAGTAAAAAAAAAAAGTTGCAGTTTGTTTATGCTGTGCTGGCAAACATTTTACTCATGGAAAAAAAAGAATGAAAAAGAGGTAAATGCCTAGTGGATTTCTTGTGGATTGCATAAAAGCAGGAATGCAATCAAAGTTAAATTCATGTCAATCACTTGTGCCCATACTGTAGAAAGGGTGGCCTAAGCTTTTCTAAGTTGTCACTACAGATCAGCTGTTCAGAAGCTTCTAACCTTTTTGGAGGGGCTTCACAGACCCTGGGGAGACGTGTGCCTTGCTTTTCTTGTAGTCAGCTATTTCAGGTCACCTTTCCATGCCAAAGAACTCAGTACTTTGCTAATTCATGTGTGAAGGCTAGTGCTGCAGATTTATTGGAAGATGGAAATCCCTACCAGCTGTGTTTTCAAAAGAAGAAATGCTGAAAGGCAAATATTTGGATTTTTGTGGGACCTGAGTAAAACAAGTTTCCAACAATGAGAACGGGTTGACCCTTTTGCAACATGCTATATGGGATATAACCGGTTACAAGGACCAATTCCCAGAATTATTAACTAAATTCTTCCTCTTTCATACTGCTCTTGTTCATCTTTCTCCTTTTCCTCATAGGTAGATCTATGCTGTAGCTTTCCATCTTAATTTGTAAGAAAGCTCATTTGAGACCCCAATGCATTTTTTGCACCAGAAAAAGATTATGGGGCTGTTCAAGCTTTTGGGCAGGGAGGCATAAATGTAAACTACTGTGGAAAACAAATTAGCTCTTTCTTGGAGTTCATAATTAATACATTTGATGAAACTATTTAAAGTTGTATGTTGTACTTTGACCTGACTAACTTGCATGGTGGTTGGCCTCTCACTTGGTATTCTGCAATCTGCTTCTTTAGAGCTTGGAATCTGCTAGTAGAAAACAAATCTGCTGATGAAGGTGGTGGTCTGGTCTTTTGACCTTGGCTGTATGC